AGCCCTGTGATAGAGCATATGTGCTTGCAGAAATTCCCAGCTTCCATCTCTGGCATCTCCAGATAAGGCTGAGACAGACCCCAGTCTGCAACCCTGGAGAGCTGCTGCCAATCAGGGTTGACAATACTGAGCTACATGAACCAGTGGTCTGACTCAGAAAGAGGCAATTTCCTGAGTTCTGCCAAATATTAAATAGGAAAGTGCTGTGTAAAGCAGTATGAACATCCGAAGCTGCCTTTTTTTGAGCCAGACCCCTGGTCCATCTAGCTCAGTATTGTCTACACTGACAGATATCCTTGTCTGAAATCCTGAAGAGCTGCTCTCTAACAGCCCTGCCTGGAGATGCTAGGGCCGTCTGCATGCAAAACAGGTGCCACTGTGCCACAGCCTTTTCACAGTAGCCATGTGATTACTCTTCATCCGTCTCCTCCTGCTATGTGCCGGTATGTGCCCCTTATGTAATAATCCCACCAAGCAGTGCCATTCATCAGGGATGATGGGAGATGTAGTCTGATACCAACTGGAAGGAAACAGGTTCTCCACGCAGGGTCGTAGCACAGTCCACAGGTGCCCGGGGCAGGTGTGGGTGTGCGCACTTCCCAGGTGAGGACAGAGCATGCTCATTCAGCCAGCCCTTGCCGCTGCTGCAGCTGGGCATAGGCATGGCATGGAGGGTGAAGAGCACCCTTGGCGCTCACCAAGCCACTGCTGCCGCCAGTGGGAGCAGGGTGCAGAAGCTGAAGAGCACCCTCCACACCCTGTCTCCATTCGTGCGCGGGTCTGCCCGTCAACTGGTGGGCGGGAGCAGGGCGGGGCGCTGAGGGTAAAGAACACCCTCTGCACTCACCCAGGGGGCTCGCGTGCTAGAGGCATGTGGGGGGCACCTGGTTCATGCCCCCCACGCTTCTGCTCCCGGGGCCACAGCCCTCTAACCCCCCCCCCCATGCTACACTTTTGTCTCCATGCTGGGTCTTGTGGGCACAGTGCTGGCCTGGGACCAAGGGCATCTTGGGTTCAAATCCATGTTCAGTTATGTGATTCTAATTTACCTCAGGATTGGTGTGTGTGTGTGTGTGTGTGTGTGTGTGTGTGTGTGTAGCTTTGTAGTTTTCACCTCAGCTACTATCCTGGATGATTACCAAAGATTCTTAAAATTGTGTGAAAATTTATTACGCACTTCTGAAGAACATTTTGAATTTTTAAAAGATTTTGGGGGTGTTCCTGCTTTCCTTTCCTCCTTTTTTCCTTTCCAGGTTCACTCATGGACAACATTTATGTTTATTTTTTTTCTGTAATCATTTATTCTCCCCCACTAGGGCTTGGGAAGGGGCCCCAAAGGCAACTTACAGCTATAAAGATGTATACTAACAAATGGAATAAAACAGAGAACATTAAAACAGAGCCATCAACACACAGCCAAGCACCAAAGGGAATTCCAAACAAATCAAATGCTTGGTGGAACAAAATATTTTTGAAACCTGCCTAACAAAACAAAGAAACAAGCAACAATAACCCCACCACGGATCCTCTTCATAATGGGAGTTCTGTAGCCTGGATAGGGATTGGGGAGAAATTAGATTCAGTTCACATTTAAAGGTGAACTTTCCAAACCAATAATGGAGCCAAAATACAGCCAGCCTTCAAAATTTGCACATCCCTGAATATGTACTGAAGTTCTCCAGCCATGGAATGTGTGTGCATATAAATGCACAAATTACTGAAAATAGCATACAAAATGGACCATTTTAGGCTAAATTGGATTGAAAGGTGTGTATATGTATTAGGAGAAACTAAAATGCTGGTGAACTTTCATGAGGACCTTTTAAAATAATAAAAATCACAAACTGATGTGGAAATGTGAAGAACCAAACTTAACATTAAATGCTAGGTGGAGACCTGGCCCATCTGGAGAAATGTCTGACTACAGACAAGGACTCATTGGGAATAAAGGTCTGAAGAGAAGGGAGCTGAGAAGGATTAGCTGAGGTTGGACTGTGGTTCCAGCAGTTCCTGCTCAAAAATTCCAGTGCTGGGGTGCAAGAGTTTCTAGAACAATATGTACCTACCATGAACATAGCCAGGATTTATGGGGGGGGGGGGCAGAACCTCAGCTAGTTAAGTATTTTTGTTGATGTGCTTGATTGGCATCTGCCCCCCCCCCCCAGCTATGCCCATGGTACCTGTTTGTGCCCTACCTGCTACTGGACCTCCTGCCTAAGCTCAGACTTTAGCTCCCGCTCAATCCTTTGTTGTGGCTTCTATTTTCTTGGACTCTGACCTTGGGCCAGCCCTGGATTCCCCTTTAGTTGCTTCTCCATTGGTATTGCCAACGACATTTGCCTTGTTTACTCAGAATCCCAGTGAAAACAGGACACTGCTAAACCTGGATGGTGCACATGAAAAGGCCCTATTCCATTCCCTAGGCAAATGCACTTCTGAAGATAGTGGTTAATGGAACAATGACTCAGAGGGGGTGGTCTTTCAATTATCCTGGTCCCAACTTCTATGGGGCATTATAGGTTGATATCCAGTTTTGAATTGCACTTAGAAATGAACTGGAAGCCCCAGTTGGTTTGGGACAAAGATACAAGAAACGTAGGAAGCTTATTTACTTTGAGTCAGCCCTGGTACATCAAGTGCAATACTGCCTACAGTAGCAGTAGCGAAGTCTTTTCAGGGGCTGCATTCCCTCAAAGTAAACCTTGTGAGGGCCACTTGCCAAAGGCAAAACTAGGTGGAACCATGGATATGACCATTGTGCAGTAGGTTACATTAAAGATAAAGCTACCCCTGCCCGTACGGGCCAGTCTTGACAGACTCTAGGGTTGTGCGCCCATCTCACTCAAGAGGCCGGGGGCCAGCGCTGTCCGCAGACACTTCCGGGTCACGTGGCCAGCGTGACATCGCTGCTCTGGCGAGCCAGAGCCGCACACGGAAACGCCGTTTACCTTCCCGCTAGTAAGCGGTCCCTATTTATCTACTTGCACCCGGGGGTGCTTTCGAACTGCTAGGTTGGCAGGTGCTGGGACCGAACAACGGGAGCGCACCCCACCGCGGGGATTCGAACCGCCGACCTTTCGATCGGCAAGCCCTAGGTGCTGAGGCTTTTACCCACAGCGCCACCCATGTCCCAGGTTACATTACAGCTGTGTAAAAACCAGAGGTTTCTCATGCCCATGCCCACTTCTCCAGCCTCCATTCAGGCAAGCAAGAGACATCATCACACTTCAAGGATGCATTCTGACCTGGCAAAAGCACTTGTGGAGGGTGCAGTGGGGGTGTGGCCTGCAGAGTGTACATAGCCTAGGAGAGTTGCAAGGACCTAAGGTTTGACCCTGACCTTGAAGTTCCCCACCCGTGCCCTAAAAAGAGTGGCTTCGGCTCTCCATAGCATGTGGGGGTGTCATACTATCCCCATTGGTGAAGAAACTGACAAAGCACAGACTCACTTCATCCAGTGCTTGGGGAATTGGCTGACTTATCTGAAATCCAGCTAATAGAAACTGTTAGTATTGTCTACCTCTGATAGCGATAATAGTCTCTCTTGGTAGGAAATTGGTATGCTCCCTGGGTAGCTGGAGAGGGATGAATTATGGGCAGGCACGGTGGCTTGTATTGTTAGCATGGGAGCTGGGAAAGCAGATTGCTGAAAAGCAAGCAAGAAGAACAGACGGAGATGCCAGCAATGGTTTGAGTGACTAGAGAATGCAGGTACTCCCTGCATAATGCTATCAGGTTGAATTCCTACTGCCCTTGTCTACTAAGCTAGCCACAAATGTATAAGTGGTCTGGGAAGGTATGTGGGAGGCATATGAGGTTGACTTAGTTGCTTGGTTTTGCAAAAGACGTATCCCAGGTGCAGGGCCAGATTTAGGTTTGATGAGGCCCTAAGCTACTGAAGGTAATGGGGCCCTTTAGATGTCCAGCTGTCCTTTGTCAACAACAAATCGTCGCTGTTTTTTGTGTTGAATATATGCTATACCTGTATGGTAATTTATGGACCTAATAGGTATCTAAAGCCATTTGCACATAACAAAATATGTATTTTATCAAAGTAATTGTTGAACTGAAATACAATTAAGAAGAAGTATATTAAAAGTGAAATACATCATAGGAGCATACACAACACAAAACACTGTTGCTGTGTGTAGGTTTTATTTTGTTTTTTATCTTATATTTTGGAAATGTACATCCAGGGTTTTTTCCCTTTAAATTTTTTGGTGGGCCCCAAGAGAGTGGGGGCCTAAGCTATAGCTTGTTTAGCTTATACGTAAATCCGGCACTGCCCAGGTGTACCCATCAGCCACATATGTTGCTGGGTCTTAGATACCCTAGCTCAGAAATATGAGTCTTGAGGGTTTCTAATGCGGGGTGCAAAATACAGTACAAGCATTATGCCTACATTTTTCAGCATGTCTCTAAGGGTCTGAGTGACAGCTCTTCTGGAGCTCTGGAATGGGCAAGATGAACGTGGAACCATGGGTAGCTGGTGTCTTGACTTCAGAGTCTAGCAAGGACCAGAACACCAGTTGGTGAAGAGAAGTGAGCTGAGTCAGAGGTTACAATATCAATGGCTAAGGAGCCAGACCACGTTTCTGGCTGAGTCCCGTCACTCGTGTGCTAGTAATCAGGAACCCAAGGCTGGTAGGCAAGGAGTCCGCTGAACAAGATGCCACAGCACTGTTAATTTTTATTAATTAAAACAAATACTGTAGCTTAATAAAGTAGGTGTTATTTTTTTTAAAAAATAAAAATGTTTCCTAATGGTCCTTACGGATTTTAAGTCCCATGTTATTTTATCTGTATGCTGAAACCTAATTTGAGGTGACAAAGGTGGCCCTGTAAACAGAATCAAGAAATAATCATAATAAATTTTCTCTTTGCTTTTGTAGTTCAAAAAGATGTCTGAAATCCAAAAAAAAAAAAAAAGTTTAAATGTTTGCACACTGCTGTTTCATTGTGTATGTTTTAAATGTACCAAATGTCTCATTTGCTTTCAGAATTATGGTCTGGAGACAGAAAACCTGCGAACTCTTTCCCACAAGCTGAATGCCTCCGCCAAAAACCTCCAGAACTTCATCACGGGTAGGAGGAGGAGTGGCCATTATGATGGCAGGGCCTCCAGAAGACTGCCAAATGATTTTCTTACCTCTGTGGTTGACCTCATTGGTGCTGCCAAGAACTTGCTTGCCTGGCTGGACAGGTAATTGAAGTGTTGTTGTTGTTTTTTAAGATATATTTGAAAGATACAAGACTGGCTTTGTATTTTCTGCCTTTGAACCTCTCCAGATGTTCTTGTGGAGTATGGTGGCTAATGGGTTAACCTCTGGAATGCCCTGTGCCTGGGAGGGACTTCTACGGGAAGTCACGTAATTCCTTTGTCTGTGTGAGTTACTTTCACTTTTCTCCGAGAATAGAGGAGAAAGCAAGGATGAGTTCTAGCTCTGATGGAGTTTGCTGTATTTGCTTGTAAATAAACGCTGTAGAATAGATAGAAGTACAGTGTTTTGGACTCTTTCCTTCTTCTTCCACACGAAGGCAACCGCTGCTACTCTGCTATTCTGCCTTAGGTGAAGTTTTCCCAGAAGACTGCGCGGAGGGGAAAGCAGTGTTTTCTGCACAGGGAAACGCACCGGACAGGCAGAAGTTCTAAAAGTTATTTTCATTGTGCATGCACAGCGATTTGTGTTCATATAATGGTAGCAAGCCAGCTATACATGCACTTCTTTGATTCCTATCAGTGCATGTCTTCCTGAAGTTTCCTGCTGAACTCCTGTAACTTAAGCAGGGTGCTACAGTTATGCAGCAAATGTTCTAGATTGTTGTTGCTTTTTTGCAAGTTTTGTTTTGTTTTGTTTAAAAACATTTTTCAACCATTTAGTATTTAGTAAATTTCTAACTGGTGGACACTATGTACGATATGAAAATAGTATCTGTGAAAACAAAGATACAGCCTAAATCTGGTAAAAACCCATCAAGACATATGAAAGCAAATAATACATAGATTTTGGGGGCTGATACACATCAATCATGGGCCAATGTTATGGATCAGGAAAAGCCTGGGCAAAAAGATAAGTCTTTACAAGAAGTCTGAAGCAACTAGCGGTTGCTGCTTCACCCGTGGTGGCAGAGCAAAATACATTCCACAGAGGAGGAGCAATAGCAGAAAATGCCAAAGTACATGAGTCATTCCCTGAATAGTAACAATGCTGGAACCTTGGGGAACCATTTCAGTGAAATGATGGGTACGGTAGATTGTCCAGTATAAATCCACCACTTAATGCACTATTATTTGAGTGAGTAACATGTTGCAGCAAAGAAACACCAATCTGGAGGGTTCCCTTCCCTCTGCAACATTCAGTTTCCCCATTGTTCATTTGTCATGGCTTGAGGTGGGGTTTCAGGACCTGGCTGCAGAAATGGGAGTTGTTCTCCAATAAAAAATTAATTGAAATATCATGATCAGCTCCCAGAGTGACAGGATTCTCAGCAAAGACTTAGCTATGGTCAGGTCTGTGTCAGTTTCACGTGTGTTTGTTCATATGGGTCTTCCATCCCATTTTACATTTTCATATAATGTCATGAAACCACTTAGAGGGACACCTCTTCTTCTTCTTCTTCTTCTTCTTCTTCTTCTTCTTCTTCTTCTTCTTCTTCCATTAAGTGGTATGTAGAAATCTTGTTAAGTCAGTTCAAATAATTAAATTAATCTGTGATTTTTAAAAAAAATAAAAAATCCACATAGAAGGCAAATTTAAATAATTATATATCAATGCATTCATTTCTGAACATGTTTTATCCTTAATATGCATTTATAATGCATTTCGGTATGCTTTTTTGAGCTGGGAGATGTACTGCAAAATTCGGAGAAGTGTAAAATGGGAAGGATGGTGATTTTCTGATGTGCATTCTTGTCTGTAAGGTACAGATGATGTTGATTTTCTTAAAACTGTGAACCAGACAAATTTCTCCTCTATCCTTAGGCAAAGCACTATACCTAAGCAACACCACAGGGCTACACCAGAGTATTTACTGGTGGCCTCAACTGCAGTAAAGCTGCAGTCTGAAGCGGGTGGCCATGATTGCCCACTGTTTTAACATTTCCCACAACTTATAAACATGAATATAAATAAATATTCATTAGGACTGTGCACCAGATCCAGCCAAATCATGGATCCCAAACTCACCTGGGATTCAGCTGCATCAGGTTACAGCAGCCCCAGCTTGAATAGGGTCCACCCAGAGTGTTTAATCAGGTCTGCATTGCATGACTGTGTAAGGCCCCTGAATCAGTTCAGGACCTGGATCCAGGTTGGGCTGTTTCCAGGTTGGATCAGGGCCACTCCCACATGATCACACCCCAAATCAGATGGGAGGGAGGATGAACACATAATCATTAATTCTCTGATCACCTTGTCATTAATTCTCTAGGTGGCCTGAGTATAATACAGTCATACCTTGGGTTACAGACGCTTCAGGTTGCGTTTTTTCGGGATACAGACTGCCAAAACCCGGAAGTACCGGAACAGGTTACTTCCGGGCTTCGGCGGTCGCGCATGTGCAGAAGCACTAAATTGCGCTTTGCGCATGCGCAAAAGCACCGAATCGCAACCCGCGCATGCACAGACGCACCACTGCGGGTTGCAAATGCGGTTGCGAACATGATCCGTGCAGGATGCACGTTCGCAACCCAAGCGTCCACTGTATAAGATTTAAACAAGAACGCATGAAGTTTGCATGAAGGAATGGAACGACACCCAGCAGAAAACTCACATTACATTTAAGAGCTAAGAACCATCTCAATGCTTAAGTGAACCAACTGGTATCATTCAGGGGAGACCGAAAGTACACCAGTCTTTAAAGATGGTAGAGCAATCTTTAAAATATTAAGTGTGCCCAGGTGATATTAAAAGGATGTTTCAATACTGTTCAAAAGGCCTGGAACTTATTTACTTTTAAGTATTTGTACAGTGCTGAAATGACATTAATTTGTCCAGCTCATTGAAAAAGTCTCTGCTATAGATGTTCATTTGGTATTGTTTTTAAATCTGACTTCAATTATTTTTGTAGTTTTTAAAACTAGCTTTTTATTATATGTTTATAATAAATTGCCTTGACACACATGTAGAAGGCAATTCACAAATAATATGTTTTGTCCTTTTCATTGACAAAAGAAAAAGGCAGAACAGGGCACATGTTGGTCTCAACCCTGCTCAAGATGGTGAATTCTAGGTTTACCTGGAGTGAACAAATTCATATATCATTGGAAGGTGACTGAGCAACAGTCTTATCTGCTCTTCAGGAGATAAGCAGTTATTGAGCAGGGAAGGTGATCTGCCATTTGTCAAGCTGGAAAAGGCAACATTTTCAGGCTGGATTCAAATTCAGGCAATCTCCCACCACCCCACCACTCTGCACCTCCCAACAATTCTTGAGTCTATCATTTGCAGCAAGGGTGGGGAACCCTTGGCTCTCCAGATGTTGCTGAACTACAACTCCCAGCAAGCATGGCCAATGGCATGGGATGGTGGGAGTTGTAGTTCAGCAGCATTAGAGGGCCTCAGGTTTCTCCATACCTGCTTTGCAAGCATAAACATAAGGATCAATCTAACCCTATATTGTGATTGGGTCTCCAAGGACTCTGACAAGAGACACCAACTTTTCAGTCTGAATTTCATCGTATGTGTGTACACCATCCCTCAGTTATTTATATGTTTGTTTATACTTACTGAAATTAGTATTCCACTTAACCGTAATTAAAACTTCTTAGCAGTTTGCAAAGAACTATAAACGGAGACTATACCCTGCTAACTTAGATTGTATTGGGGGACTGCTTATTTCAAACATTATCTCCCCACTCACTCACTCTCTGCCCTCCTTCCTGCGCATGTGTATTCAGAATAAATTCTTACTGAGTTCAATGGGATTTACTCCCAGGTACATATGTGTATATATTTGCATACTATCCTGTATGTGGATAGTAAACATTCCTGTTGCATTATATTTCCTCATGCAGGGGAATTTTTTGAAGTGCAGGTGCTTTCAGTCTTTTCTTCTTTTTCTTAATAATAATAATAATAATAATAATAATAATAATAATAATAATAAAATTTTATTTATATCCCGCCCTCCCCAGCCAAAGCCGGGCTCAGAGCGGCTCTCAAACACATGGAAGACTGTGTCATGTGCCCATTTGAATGTATGGACTGAATTTTTTTAGCGTAAATGCCAAAGAATAAACACAGGACCCTCTGCTGCTTTCACAGAGCTTTGTGAAAGTCTTGTGAAAGAATGTGCACAGTCCCATTTTTAATAATTACAGTGCAAGAAGCCAAGATCAATGTAGGCAGTTGACTAGGTCTTGTAGAACCTGCCCTTTCTTTGGCCTATTAATAGTTTGGCATATTTCCATTAATACAGTGCAAAATTGTACAAAATCAGTGTGTACATGGTCATTAGTCAGACTCTCCTTATAGGAAATATGAATAGTGCATAGCATTAGACTGATTACCGGAACTTTAAATGTGAAGACTCCTAACTTGCTTTCTCTTTAAATCCCCTATTCTTAATAGGTCTCCATTTGTCAGTGTGACAGAATACTCACTGCTGAAAAATAACATTGTTCAACTGTGCCTGGAACTAACAACCATAGTGCAGCAGGTAAGAGCTAGTTAATCTTCTACTAAATTACTCCTAAATTACTTCCATAGTGGAAGGACGCAGATATGTCTCCTTCCTCGGCTGCTGAGGCCTCTGCACAGCTTTTGTTGCGCTTAGGCAAAGCAAGAAACATCAAAGCAGTGGTTTCCAGCAAAAATGGGTTTCCTCAGCTTACAAAGCCTGACCCTTAAATGTTTCTATGGTTTAAACCACAGGAATTATATAGTTCAAGAACATATTCTAACCAGGCAAAAATACTGAAGGAGAATGCAATAGAAGACCCATAGGAGAACATGGCCTTGGGAGAGGGTGTGTCACTCAGAAGGTGGTGTGGAGCAGGACTGTCTCAAGGGTAGACAGGATTGGAGGGCCACATTTGCCCCCCCCCCTTTAGCCTGAGGTTTCTCAAAAACAATACTCCACACAAAAGGCCACAAATTGTTTAATTAGCCAAAGGCCTCAGAGAAGAGGAATGTTTCTGTCTAGTTCCTAAAAACACCATTAAAGACATAATGAAGACACCAGGTGAGCCTCCACTTCCAACATTGTTGAAAACTTTCTACAACTAAAGCCACATTGCACAATTAGAATTAAATCATTTCACAATATGTAATAATGACGGAAATACAAAGTGCCACACCACCTAAAAAACTCCTAATTCATGGAATAGCTTCATCATTTGTCCATTTGCTGACCCTTCCTTCCATAGAAATCACACTTCAAAACTCACCTTCGCAGCGAAGCTTTTGGATAAACTCAATGACCCCATATCCTACTGAAGCGATGAGGAACCCATGGTTCTCTAGATGTTGGTGGACCTCAACTCCCATCAACTTTGACCAGAGGCATAGTGTGGGGTGCCGTGAGTGTCATGGCCCCAGGCACAATTTTGAGAGGGGGCACACACAGGCGCCCCCACAGCAGGCGCCTTCATCGGAGCCTGGCTCTGCACCTGAAGAAGCTGCACCAGGCCAGACCCAGGGGAGGAGAGCAGGTGAGTGGGCAGCAGGACAGCTGCCCACCCTCCTTGGTTGCAGCACACCTTGCACCTGGTGGCAGCGGCTCTGCCACTGGGTCACTTCTGTCTCAGCAGTGGAAAGCAGCCCTCCTCGACCGCGGTGAGGCATGCCCAGCTGCAGTGTTAGGTCTGACCCGACAGTGGAGAGCAGGAGAGTCAGTGGCCCACCCTCCTTGGCTGGGAGGCACTGCTGAGTCATGTCTGACCCAGCAGTGGAGCACATTCTACCCTGATCCCAGTGAGGTGTGCCCAGCCGCAGCAGCTCCACCTCCACCATTGGGTCAGGCCTGACCTGGTGATGGAGAGCAGGGGGACAGTGAGCAGCAAAGCTGCCATCCGCTCTCCTTGGCCACAGCCTGGCTGTTGCAGCTCTGCTGATGGGTCAGGCCTGACCCAGCAGTGGAGAGCAGGAGGGGAGTGGGCAGCAGCTTCCCTGCCCCTCTTCTACCCTGAACTGCAGGGCTTGGGAGGGTGCCCTCTGTGCCCCACCCTGGGGGGGGGCCCTGCTCGCCCACCTCAGGCAGCGTGGGTGTACACTCTGTCGCTGTCTCTGACTGTTGGCCATAGTGTCTGGGACTGGGGGGAGAATGGAGCTTTCATCTCTGTCTTCCAACAACTTTTAGCCTGTCTCCTAGCAAATGCTGTCTGAGGCAGCCAACTCATTTTACCTAATGGTAGGGCTGTGCATGTTATATGTTGTTTGTCCCATATCTATGGCTAATGTAGTCTGAGTGCCTCTAAGCATAAGAGAGGAAGAAAATTATATATTTCTGTCCAGCCTCTTCACAGTTTTCGTCATTCTATAAACCTGTATCCCATGTCCTCTCCTGCCTATGTTTTTCCTCAACGTAACCCTTTGGCCTTAAGTAAATGATTCTATTGTTTAATTAACCATCTGACTACCTGAGTTTTGGCCCTTTTCTAAGCCGTTCACAGACTGCCTTTATACATTTGGGGAGAAAGCTCCGTCTAACCAATCTCTAATTTAAATGAGGTGGGTATAGAAAGCAAATAGATTTTTCTGTTGTGTGATATGAATCCCCAATCAATCTGGGCAAAGAACGCTTTGTGTTATCAAATAGAAAACCATCAGATTTCTCTGCCCAGGCCTGGTCTGTTCTTTGAAATTAATTCATTCCACTCTACAAAACAGGGGGAAAATTTTCAGATACACTCCACAACTGAAGGCCTTTATTCTCTGACCTGAAATAATTAGGTTTGCTGCAAAGGAAATTTGAGTTGCCTTTCTGATGCATAAATTAAAAGGAATGATGTTTGATTGGCATCGTTAGCTCAAAAGCCCAGCTGCGATTGATTTATCCTCTTGGTGTTTGAGAGTTAAATGGAAGCCATGTCTTCTAAAATGGATATTCCATTTGAAGTATTTTCAACTAGTACAGGCAGTGTGTGTGTGTGTGTGTGTGTGTGTGTGTGTGTGTGTGTGTGTGTAAAGGAGAGAGAATTGCCTTGGGGTCCAGACGGGCAAGCTGATTGAATGCCTTCCCTTGCTACAGAAATGAAAACTTCAAAGGCATACTTGACCATCAAGTGTATAGAGAGAGAGCCTTCCATATTTTTGTGCTCCTTGGATGATTGGACTGTGCCTCCGTAATTTCAGTTTTTGTAATCTTTCTGCATCAGAAGTGTGGGCGAGTTTCACGTTTTTGATAGCTGGGGAACCCAGAATCACCAACTGAAGTCCTTCCATCCCAACCACCATACCTTACTTATTTACTAGCTGGTTACTTTAATTACACACACACACACACACACACACACACACACACACACACACACACCATCTTTCTACATTTTAAAAATAAAATGTAATCTTTTCATAAATGGGTGGTACAGGTGGTGACCATTTCATGCAGGGGTTTCATTCCCAGCCCCTTTGTGTGTAGCCAGAGCACACATAAGTATGCCTCACCCCCGCCCCACACCCATTCTGCCCTCTTTCTGGTCCAAAAGGACCCATGCATTGGTGATTTTGTGTCAATTGGACATGCTTAAAATGGTTGTCCACACTTACCTTTTGTCCCATTCTTTCCAGGCACAGGTCCACCCTTTCCAAGTCTTGGTCTGAACACTCTTTTTTTTGCCCTGAAGTTTTCCCCGCGAAATCCCACTCTTTAAAGCTGAAGTGCACAAACAGCAAAGCGGGTTTTCCCTGGATTGCCATTTGCTCTAATTCAGCTTTAAAGAGCAGGTATTCACAGTGGAAGCTACGGAGCAAAAAGAAAAAAAGGGGGGAAAGGATGCTTGGACGTGGAGCTTTAAAGTGTGAGCTATAAGTGTAGATAGGCCCTAATTTCAGACCAATTGAAATTAATGGATGTAACTTAGTCATGTTCATTAATTTCAGTGGGTCCATTCTGAGCAACATTCCATTGACTGCCACTCATAATTTCCATGGTGGTTCATAAAAATATAAAATGAGTTGCCAATACAAACCAATACAAAGTTTTTTTTTAAAAAAGCAGAATAATAATGACACCATAGATGGCACAGCATATGGAAGAAAGAAAGGAAACCTAATTGCCAAGACCAAACTGTTGGTAGTCTAGGATGCTGGTTACTTATTACTCTAGTTTTATGAAATCTGCATTGATTACATTTCCAGGTTCATTTCCAGGTTCTGGTTCTTAAATGGCTTGGGATGTGCTTATTTGAAGGACTTCCTCCCCTACCACCCCCCAAACATTTGCATTCCTCCATGGACTGCCTGTTATCTTCAGGTCCTGCTCTGAAGTTGCTCCTTTGCCAGCTGAAGTTTTGCTCTCACACCCATGAAAAAAGGTTCAAGATGCAACATGCATGGCGAAGAGGTTTTAATTGGCTACATTTCTTTAAAACATAACCTGTCTGCACAAACTGGTTAAGCAGATTAGCTAAATCACAGTAGTCTGGGCAGGAAAGAACCAAGAACATAAGCAGAGCCCTGCTGGATCAGACCAGTGGCCTATCATGTTCTCCACAAGCAGGACCTGATTACAATGACCTTCTGCCTACCTGCAGCTCCCAACAGCTAGTATTGAGAAGCATACAGTGATACCTCTGGTTATGTACTTAAATCGTTCCGGAGGTCTGAAACCGTTCTTAACCTGAAGTACCACTTTACCTAATGGGGCCTCCCACTGCCGCCGTGCCGCCGGAGCACGATTTCTGTTCTCATCCTGAAGCAAAGTTCTTAACCCAAGGTAATATTTCTGGATTAGTGGAGCCTGTAACCCGAAGCGTATGTAACCCGAGGTACCACTGTACTGCCTCCAACAGCAGTGATGCAACAAATCCACTAATGGCTATTAGCCATTGGTAGCCTCATTCTTCTTCGTGAATTTGTCTAATCCTCTTTTAAAGCCATCCAAGGTGGTGGCCATCACTGTGTCCTGTGGGAGCAAATTTGCACCATGTGCAAAGGTGTTTACTTTTGTCTGCCTTGAATCTTCCAGCATTCAGGTTCATCAGATGACCTCTGGGTCTCAGATAATGAGAAGGGAGAGAATTACTCCCTATTCACTTTCTGTACAGCATGTATCATTTTATACACCTTTGTCATGTCCCCCATTAGTCCAACCAGGCAGGGCGGCATTACACACCTGCCTCCCCAGTGCCTTGTGTCTCTGTTGGTTACTGAGAGGGTGAGGGGTGAGGCAGCAGAGAACTCAATGCAGAGTGAGTGCAGCAGCAGGAGTATCAGATTCAGCATTCAACATTCAGCTTCACTGGCTGAAATCCCCAAGTTCTAATGTTATTACGAGTGAGGAAGAAAAACTTGAATTTATATACTTTTATCCTGCCACCTCTTACTTGCCTTTTCTGCAAACCAAAAAACTCCCTGTTGCCTTGATAAGTTTGATTGCCGTTTTATTTACAGGCAATGGCCATTTTAGGTGAGTCCAATTGACTCATGATTGCCACCACATGTTTTCTTTTGGATCTGGAAGAGGAAAGAATGGGAGTGGGAAATAACAGCCTGGGG